TAGATCAGATTATACTGTTTATTTAGCTAACACCATTTTCCTCTCAACATACTGAAAAGATTGAATCAATAAATCTTAAACTTCCAAAAGAACATTTAAAATAAGCAGGTCATAGCACAGAGTGAGTCTGTATGTGAGAGGGAAGGTAGAAGTTATGCCAATGAAATTTTACTTAATAAAATCTGTATACATTAGAAAATAGTTCAGCGAAATTTGAATAGTTTTCATAATCCTTTTTTCTATTTTTAATACCTGGGATGTAGTATTGATTTTGAGAGGGTGTTCATTTAAAATAATAGTTTTTATAAAATTTTGGAAGCAGAAAATATGTGGTTTGTTATTTTAAAAATATTATAAATGGGTCCATTCATATAAGTTCTGCTATTTTTCTCAGAGATTCACATGCACTAATATCCTCTGAAAAATATTGAGTTTTCATGTATTCAATCAAGAAAATGTTTAACCTCTTAACTCAGAAATAATTTAAATTCTACTTTACACAAACAGGTTTCCATATAGTTTTACTTTTAGTATCTCAGCTTTAGAGTCTTTAAGTCTACTTAGTCTTTTGTGATCTCTGAAATATCTCTTAATTTCTTGAATTAATTTAAACAATATGATTAACAATGGTTTGAACATATTTATTGCTATGAATTTATTTAGGGTTTTTTTGTATAGCTTACCCTAATTCATTTTTTTTAGAACTAGTGGTCTGTACAGAAGAACCATGGCATTTACACATAGAGAATTTGAATACTGTTATGTGAAGACAGTTGTTATCGATACTGAGTAAGATGTTAATTCAAATGCAAGCTTCTTGATTTTGAATCTTTGATCTTGATTTTATCTCCGAAAACTTGTATGTACTTTTGGGCTTATTCGGATACTGTTTCCTTCTCTAACACCCAGTCAGTCAGTCACTGAGATCTGTTTCCATTTCAGATGAGTTTGGATTAGCTCACTGTAGGCTTTATTATCACACAGAATAAAAATTATCTTTGGCATGTATGCAAGATGATAAACACAAGTTTGTTCAATTGAGGTATTGTTTGTAATAGCAAATGATTAGAAACACCCCGAATGTCTGTCTCTAGGGAGGGAATTGGTTGAATTTTGGTATCTGTACAGTGGGGTACTGTTCAACCACGAGAGGTAAAGCACCTCCCTGTGGAGCGATATCGGACAAGGCCCTAGAAATATCGTTGAAGGGGAAAAAAGCAACATGCATAACAGTCCATCAGAGAAAAACCTGAAGGGATATCCAAACTCAGAAAAACCGACTGCTGTTGCCTTTCGGAAGGACAGTGGGTGAGTTATAGATAGGTGGAAACTAGACGCCCTTTTTTTCCTTTCAATTCTGTACCCAGTGTAACCTGTGTTTTAAAATTACTTTAAAAAATTATCTTCATTACAAAAGGCCTGATTGGTAAGTCTGAAACTGAAACTATCCAAATACTTAACTAAGTTCAGGTATAAAATTCATTTTTACTGATTGAAACGGAAAGTTGGATATTACAGCAGAAAACTTGGGCAATGTGTGTGGCGCTGGTTATGAGGAAGTGATTCTTCCTTTAATATTTTGCTTTCTACTGTAGATTTATCCTGGGAGATTATTTCTGATTCAGATTTAATGGAAACTCTTTTTAAAGCCAAGTATTCTTCAATGCTATGGTACTTTAACTTATCTATTTTTAAATTTGTGATTTTTTGTAACATTATTCTCATAAATCAGAACAGTCACTTCAGCCTTATCAAAATTAATGTTTGTCCTCCGAAACTTAGAGCCATCTGTAGTTCTAATTAAAGTTTTGCAAAAACAGCCATTTGTATTTTTCTCTTCTCACATTCAAAAAAAAGTTTTTAAGAAATTGAAATTCATATCTTTAAAATATTAGATAAAGTATTATTTACTGACTAAACTGTGCCCATTGCACAGTTTAAAACCACCGGCTGTTCTGAATTGTTTTGTCAGGCGTTCTTAAGTTAACTATGTGTTACCAAATGCAAATTTGCTTTATGAAGTAGGTGGCATGCACTTTGAATATAGGAAATGACTCTCACAAAGAAATGCTTGATATTCAGAATTTGGAACAATTGGTTGGCTAGGGAAACATTAATGAACATCACAGACTGTCTTGCTTTCATAGGAATGAATTTAAAACGATTCCTGTTTCTTTGTAAATGGAAAAAGAACTTCTAATTGTCCATATTTATAGCAACCATATGTTCCGACCGTGTGTCCCAGACTTTCCGGGATAGTTCCTAGTTTCGTATTCTCTGTCTCCTCAGATCAGGTGTATTGATTTTTAGTTTAGAAAATTTGTTCGTTTTTCTAATAGTAGAAATATGTTGCCCCCAAGGTTTGGGGGATCATTTTTCTCTCTCTTTTCTGAAAGATTTTACTTATTTATTTCAGAGAGAGGGGAAGGGAGGAAGAAGGAGAGGTCGAGAAACATAGATTGGTTGCCCCCACCTGGGGGCCTGGCCTGCAACCCATACGTGTGCTCTGACCAGGAATCAAACCGGCAACTTTCTGGTTCTTAGGCCAGTGCTCAAACCATTGAGCCACACCAGCCATGGCTGGGATCATTTCATTTAAAGTAGAAGTTAACAAACTCATTTTGGATCACTTGTTTCAAAGAAGGGAGATGTAAGCAAGAAGTGTTCCAAGAAGTTTTTAAAATAATGTTTTTATATACCAGAGTTACTTGAGACATGGAAATTTTCATTATATGAGATTTTTGTTAATATGCTTTTGTTCAGAGTGAAATCAATGAATGAACGAGGAGTATGGGGCAACAATATATGGGATGAAATGTTTTTTTTCTGTCTGTCCTGCAGTGACCAGGCACTGCCTCTGCAGTAAAGACTGCATATCTAGGGCAGATTGGTAAGTTAAGAGTTTTTAAGAAATGAGGCGCACAACAAACACATGAAAAGATATTCAGTATCATTGGCCATTATGGAAATGCAAACAAAACCACAATGAAATACCACTTCACAGGCACTAGCAAGGCTATTATCAAAAAGATGGGTAGTAATTAATGTTGGCAAGGATATGGAGAAATTGAAACACTTTTATGATGCTGGTGGGAATGTAAAATGGCGCAACCACTTTGGAAAGTCTGGCAGCTCCTCAAAAGGTTAAACAGAGTTACTGTATAATCCAGCAATTCTACTTCCAGGTATATAGCCTATGTTAGCACAAAAACTTATTCCCAAATGTTTATAGTGGCATCATTTATAATAGCCAAAAGTGGAAACCTCAGTGTCAATCAGCTGATAAATGGATAAATAAATGTAGTAATATTATTCAGAAATTAAAAAAAGAAATGAAGTACTGATATTTGCTGCAACATGGGTGAACCCTGAAAATATTAGTATGTGGAAGAAGTCAGGCTTAAAGGACTACATACTGTATGATTCCATTTATATAAAATGCCCAGAAAGGGCAAACCCATAGAAATAGAAAGTAGATTGACGGCTGCCTAGGGCGGAGGAAAGAGGGAGGAAATGGGTATGAGTTCTCTTTTTGAAGTGCTGACAGTGTTCTAAAATTGTACACTTTAAGTGGGTGAATTGTACAGGGTGCTAATTATATCTCAGTGAAGCTGTTTTCTTTTAAAGGGCGGAATCTTTTGTTCACTGATTGAAGCAGTCTGTTTCATACCTTCTTTACCAGTGGTTCTCAACCAGGGACAGCTCCTCCCCCAGGGGCAAGTGCCAGGAGACATTTTTGGTTGTCACAACTGGAGGAAGAATGCTACTGGCATTCCGTGGGGGCAGTCCAGGGATGTTAACATCCTCCAGTGCATGGAATATGATCATCAGTTTTGTTTCTAAATATAAATAAGTAAATAATTGAATTAAAACATTAGAACAAAAGATTTTTTTCCTGAAAGTTGGGCCAAAAACATGGGTGCACATTATACACGGCAAAAAACGGTCAACTCTATGGATATATCTTCAAGTTAACATAAGTTTTCTCCTGTCATCTTCAATCATATATTAAGCCTGCCAACTGATCTTTAATTCAGATATATTTTTCAGTTATAAAACATTTGATTCATTTTTGAACTTTCCATTTCATTGATGACAGTCCCAAGCCATTCATTCATTATGACCTTATTTTCCTTTTAAGTCCTTAAACATCTGTATAATAGTTGTTTTGATTTCCTTGTCTGCTAGTTCCTAGATTCTGGATCATCTTGTGGTTGTTGTTTTTTAATTATATTTCCTTTGATACTGGATTGTATTTCTTTATGTGTTTAGTCACTTTTTATTGTATACTGGACAGTGTGTATGGTACATGGTGGAGACCATGGATTTAGTTATCTTTCACTGAAGGTTTTTGATTTTTGTTCTAGCAAGTTCTTAACAGAATGCTGTCTTCTGTCATGTGAATGTCAGCTGAAATCCGTGCTCAGTGCTTTCAGCCTTCCGGCCATTACCTTTCACAGGTGCATTTCAGCAGTTCAAGAGTCAGCTAGGAATTTGGGTAGACTTTATATATAGATTTGGAGGGACTCATGGCTTCTTCCTTTCAGGGACTGTCCCCCTCACTTCCCAGTTATGTTAACTCAAACCAGGTCTAAGAACTCTTCAAGCAAGTTTCATTTCAGATTTCTGGGTATGGTTCCAATCACCTCTCCATATGAACTGTGGAGTGCTACCAGGTGAAAAGCCATGTGTTTCTTCTTTCAGGATTGACTCCCCTCCAGTTTCTGCCTGCTTTGGGTCAATTTATGGTACTTTCAAATAGTTATTTTTAAATTTTTAGAGTACATAATTATTATCTGCAAAAGGATCAACCTAATATATTATGCCACTATCAGGAGTCATATCATATTACTTTTTGTTTTCTATTGGTATTGTACAGGATTGAACAACAACAACAACAAAACCTTCTACTTTTTTGGTCAGTGGTGGCAGTAGTTCATCAAAATTTTCTAAAAGGATTGAGCATACTACTAATCTTATTTTTCCTTTTTCTCTTATAGACAAGAGATGATTTCCTAGGTCAAGTGGATGTTCCTCTTTACCCATTACCGGTGAGTACATTTGTGATTTTACTTTTTATGTTTATTATTTTTACTTTAAGAAATTAAATACATATTAATATTTGATTTCTAAAATATATACTACTATTATTTCTTAATATAGTTTCTGTTTTAATTTGATCATCATGGCCCGCTTATGTGAACTCCAATAAGAAATGGAGCCGTTGAAGTTTGTAAACATTATGAAAACATTGTTTGAGGAAGATCAGTTTAGAAAGGCTCTGAAGATCAGTTTGGAAATAACTGGAAGGAGGAGAGTCTAGGCTCACAGAAGGAAACTAAGATGGGTTATAACAGTGTAGGCATGACACTGAATCTGGACCAAGCATAGAGCACTGGAGGCAAACAGACAGATTTAAGGAACATTTTAGAATAAAACTATATTGGACCAAGTTTCTGACAGGGGTTTAAAAAATAAGGAAAAAGTACAGATAATACAGGTTGAACTTAGGAGATAAGGATGGTAACTCAAGTAGAAAAGTTGCATGGAAAAGCACTTTTGTTTTGAAATATGATACATTTATTTTTTTGCCTTATTGAATTTCAACAGAAAACAGGAAAAATGAAAACTTAGAGAGGGCAGCTGACAGAGATATGAAAATAAATTATCTAGGGGAAAAGGGACTGGAAAGATTGAGAGTTATCTCGGGTGAGGTAACAGCAGAATCTCGGAGAATGACTGGCTGTCCAGACAAGAGAGATGAAAGTGTTGAAGGCCAAACATTGACCCTTGGACAGTGGCAGGACTGAGAGAAGACAGACAATAGGAGACAGGAAAAGAACCGAGTAAAATAATGTCATGATAATTCAAGAGTCTTATGACTGAGTGGTTAGTTAACAGTGCAAAATGTAACAGGGAAAAAAAGGATAACTAAAACAAAAGGCTGCTGAACTTGGTAAGAAAGAGAAGTAATACCTTACCATATCAGTCTTTTGAAATGTTTATTGGCTTTCTACAGTCTTCAGAGATGATAAACTTGTAATAATGTATTGAATTCAGTCCTATTTTCCATGCTGTTTACTTTTTCATTCTCCTGGAATTGTCTCTAAGCTCATGCCAGCTTTCTGACACTGCATATTCCACTGACCATGCTTCTGCTTTTTCACTTCCTACCCTATTTTTGGCTCCACAACACACCTGCTCAGCTTGTTTTAGACTCAGTTGTGATGCCGGTTAAAATTCCTGTGGTGTGGGAAGGTGAAAGCACTATTGATTGTAACCATTCATCTAAAGCTACAGTTTTCTCATTTCTAACTTCAATTATGTGTTAGACCATAGTTCATTAATATTCTTGAAAAGTTAATGTTTTGGTGTTCTAGATATATCTTGAAAACCCACTGTTTTATTCTAGACAGAAAATCCAAGAATGGAGAGACCATATACATTTAAGGATTTTGTTCTTCACCCAAGAAGGTCAGTAAATATAAAATAATAATATATTAAGTTTAAAAAAAATTTCTTCATCATACCTTATAGTAGCTGCTTTGAAAATTCAAAGTTTAAAGCTTTGTAAATAATCTAGTTCTGAATTTTGTATTATTTTAAAAAGTTTTATTGTTATGTCTGATTACAAAGTAATATGCACATAATACAAAAATTCTGAAAATACAGAAACGTGGTCACACCCCTTTGGGAAAAATCTGTAACCCTAATACTTACCAGACTAAAATGCTAAAATTTGTCATTTTATATTGATTTTATATCACAAAGCATATATAACTTTGTCATGCTGTCATTAAAAAATCACAAGCATTAGTTCATCTAGAACTAATATCCAACTCAACTTGCAAAAACCAATTTCAGAAAAATCTAACTATATTTTGTATACCTCAATAAAAAGGAAATTTCAGAGAACTCAAATATTTAGAGAAAATAATATGAGTAAAGACTGGAATTTAAAATCTATCGTTTTATTTTCCTAAAGTAAATTACTTGATTTTTGTCAAAATTCTTAAGTTTAAGCTGTAAATAAAACTCCTTTTGATCTTCTGTACCAATTAGTCAAGTAAAATCTAGTCAAGACATGTGTGTGGATTTACTGTCAAGAAGGTCAGAGTAAAGCAGAGGAAGAACATCTGTGAAAACAGTGTTTGTCTTGCTTTTAAAATTAGAAAATGCATTTGAAAAGCATACTATGGGAACTTAGCAAGTTTTTATTTAAAAATTTAAAATTCTCTTTGTAATATGTATGTTAAAACAAAAAGCACAGTGCTTTCCATAAGAGAAGTCAGGTATTTAATTTCTATAGAAGCCTTGGAATATACATCTCTTTTCTCCCTTTAATGTTCACTGGTTGTGACATCTGCATACCAAGAATAACAAAATAAATATTTCTTCTCTTATTTGATTGCCCTGGTAGCCTGCTTTTCAATTTGTCAAGTGCTTTCTAGTATCCTTATCTTTAAACACTAACAATTTACATCTTCTGTCTGCCCTGCATATTATTGCAAGTGCAGAAAGAACTTCATTCAGATAGAAAATCTGAACTCCTGAATTTTTTTCACCCCATTAAGTCCAAACTCACAGGCTTAGTATCTAGATGGAAAGACATGAAACATATTTTAGAGAAACTCTTCTATAAAACATTATTAGAGCAAGTTTTCTGTATCTTTTATAGCAACAAGTCAGTGTGCTCACTACCCCTTAGATATGGTGACAAGCCACCATTAGTGGCCTTGGAAACACGCATCAGGGATTTTATTGACCACTCAGGGTAGGTCCACTTTCCAAATCCATGAGAACTATACATACACAGAAGAACTACTAAAAAAATTAATGGAGGCATGGTGGAGTCATTTCTTGAAGATAGGAAAAAAGAATTAGGACTCTTGTCTAGAAAGACAAAGACTGGTTAGTTACATAATTGATATTTATAAAAATCACCCCCAAAATTTATGTAGAAAGGTGGGACAAGCAAAGACTTCTTAAATAAATAGGATATTGCCATTGATGGGGGCAATAAGTCTTAATTTAGAAGCTTCAGAAAGATGGGCTTAAACAATTTAAATATTAATACAGTGGGTAGCCGCCTTGAGCTTAGACAACTCATTAATCAAAGAGGTGATATGGTATGAAAACACATGAGGTAAATTAGTGTAGGACAGACCCAAACAGCTGTCAGAGAAAGATGCTGGGTTCCAGACGGTTATCAGGCTTTGCTCTTCACTCTTCTGTCGTCTCAGACCTTGTGGCTAGGTTAGTATCTTGAGCGCATATCTCTGAGGAGGCCTTTTTGTGTCCCCCAAATTCTCTGGCTTCACAGAGTATGCAAAATAAAACCTCAACTTCCCTTGTTTCTCCTGGACCTCACCATCTCCACCTCCTTTATGTGTACCCTGTAATCCAGCCAAGTTCAACTACTGCTATTTCCTCAACTGCACCCCAGGTCTCCCATCTATTTCCTTGTTTTTTGCTCTTTTTTTCACTCCGTGCCTGTGCCATGACTGCCACACACCAAAATGTTCCCCAGTCTTCGAGTCCCAACTCAAATACCAACTTCTTTTAAATTCTCTCTGATCTTTTACTTAAACTTCCTGAGTATCTTATCTTGTAACAGTTATTTACTTATGTATGTTCCTTTTTCTCTACCATTTATTCTTTTTCCTAGATGCTTTCTGCATTGTAATTTGTCATTGAGTCTCCTCTAATAGCTGGTGGGTGTTCAATGAACTCTTACTAAATGAATATTTTTCAGCCTAGTGTTAAAGTTTTGTGAATAATTATTTTCTCTTCTACAGTCACAAATCAAGAGTTAAAGGCTATCTGAGATTAAAAATGACGTATCTACCTAAAAGCAGTGGCTCAGAAGAAGATAATGCAGAACAGGCTGAGGAATTAGAGGTGAGATTTTATAAATATTTGGTTAAACTAAACATGAAATACCTAGTTTCTTATTTTAGTAGACTATGAAGAAAAAGTAACTTTATACAATGAAGTTAAGATGTGCAATAAAGGCCCTGGCTAAGTATCTCAGTTAGAGCATCATCCAGATACACCAAGGTTGCAGGTTTGATCCCCGGTCAGGGCACGTACCGGAATCAACCAATGAGTACATAAATAAGTGGAACAATATATCAGTGTTCTTCTCTCTCTCACTCCTTTTCTCTCCCCACCCCACACCACTTCTTCACTTCTCTAAAGTCAATAAATTTTTTTAAATGTGCAATATAAATTATTTACCTGGATATTTATTTATTTTACCCAAGCATTTATTAAACATTTCTCTAAGGATCTTTCTATAGAACGAATGGCCATTATTAATGGCATTCATAAAGGTAAAAGAATAGAGAATACAATGTTTATGAATGAGAGCTTTTATTGTAATTATCATTAACTGTTTCTAGTTGTTTGGTTTTCTAAACCATGTCATGTTCCTCTGCATCAAAGTAAGAACACTTTGTAAGTTAAATGCATGGAAATTTTGAGGTGAGACTCTGCTAATTAGGAACTTTTTATGAAACATAATTTCCTGTTACTTTTTCTGTCATGGTTGGAGATGGAGCTCATAGGAATGGAGGGAATGGGAGAAAGAGAAGGAGAGAATTCAAGTGACCTACTAAAAAGCCACATTTATTTGAGGCAAACAGAATTTAATACTTTTTCATGAGTGACAAGATAAGAGAAAGTCCAAGTCAAGTATTTGGGCAGAACTGTGTGTATCTGGGGTGAGTGAGGAAGAAGCCAAGACTGTATTCGGAATAGAATTGGGCTGGGATTTGGAGACTGGAATCCTGTTAGCAGGGTCTGCCACTAGCCAGCCTTGAACTTCTCTGAACCTCAGTTTCTTCATTTGCATAGTCACCTGGTTTTGCCAGATGAGGCCAAGGGTTTCTTCAGCAGAAAAATCAAGAGTTGAAAAGAAGACAAAAACACCTGCCCCTTTGAGGCTTCCCTTGCAGGAACATTATCATCGAAGATAGCATCATAACTCATAGAGTGAAAACACACAGGGAGTGCCCTGTTACCCTGCCTCTTTGCCTGAGCATCTGGGTGGGTCTCCAGAAGAACTGGGAAGCTGAGGACCCTCCCCAAAGACTGGACTTTACCTCACAAACCCACATGCCTTCAGAAGAGGAAGAAAGCTCTAGGACAAGCAGAGCTTTTGTAACAACTTTACAGGAATTTTTTTATGTACATAAATGAGATTTTATTTTGTGGGGGAATCTGAAATAATGGAAAGAACTTTTTTTTCTACTCATAGAATATAATTAGTCTTTAGTTTGGTGGCCAGAGAACTCAGTAGCCTTTCTTATGTCTATATTCACTTATTTAATTTACCTTTGTATCTTTTTGGTTTTTCTGTGATTTATCAGACGTAATATTTTTAAGATATTTATTGAGTCAAAGTTTCTGGCATTGTGGTGCACAGGATATTTTGCCTAATAAAATTCTGTTTGACATGAAGGATGTCTGCTGTAAAGAAAGAAAATTCCTTATTTAGTAACTTTAAAAAAGCTAACAGCATTTTATTATTTAGTAACCTGCTCCAAGTTTTGCCCACGCGCACGTACCGCAGGCACCTTATTCACAGTTCAGTTTCTGTGGGCAGAGCTGCTTCGCTTCATTTTGTCTGAAGTCTCGGTGTTCGAATTCCCTCAGAGTGCACCTTATAATTTCAGTGGATGTAAGCGTGTAGGAGTTTATTTATCAAAGGCCCTAGGAATTCAAACACATGAATCGGTGCTTATTTATATTCTGTGCAGCTAATGACCAGAGACGTCTTGCCTTTGACATCTAATTTGTAACCGAATGTACACAATTCTACTATTTAAAGAAAACAATTGTGATCTTCACAAGAGGCGTACTGTAAGGCAATTGGTGTTCCTTAGTAAGATGGCTATATAGATAATCATGTAGCATTTGATTTTGGTACCCCTTGCAACTTTAGATTTAGGTGTATTTTACAAGGTCAACTACAAGTTGTAGCTCTGAACGCTTGCTTTCTGACTTTCTTTAACTCCATTAAAGTGTGGGCAGTTGCATCTCAGCTTTGAGGGTAGTAATTAAGTAACATTCATTGACACTTAGAAAATTATCTGTGAAGAATATGAGCTGATACATGTGTAAGAGGGAGACATTATATATAAAAATGAGAACTCGGTCTTTCTAAACAATGTTAAAATGTACAACTATACTTTTTCAAACTTGAAACAAGCTTTTCAAAAAGGTTCTTAATTAAATTAGTTTTTCCCTCTGTTTGGATTTACTTGTGTAACAGAAATTAAATGAGCAGACCTTTAAGAGACAAATCTTTAAGAAGATTTTAGATATTTTCTGGTATCATATTTCTAGCTGTGAATATTTTTACAGTCATTTAAAGCAGAAGAGGACAGTTTTATCAATAAATGTCATTAATCTGCAGAAAAATAATCAACGACCGTATTCAACAAAAAATTACATCTTAGTCTTTTTTGAGAGTAAAATATGAAAATTCGACTCACATGCTTTTGAAATTGAAACTGGGGAAATGAAATCTGATTTAATTTATATAAGACTAAATTTTTGGTATGTAGATCCACTATTATGATTATTTAAAGAAAAGGAGAAGAGAGAAAAGGAAGATAACATAGATGGAAAGAAAAAGTAAGAGGACAGAGGGAAGAAACAGAATAGAGTTTGGGAATTAAAAATTAAAAAGATATTGTTACCGAACAACAGGAGGACCAAGGGAGGGGCAATACAATATTTGGCCCACCTAGGGATGCCCAAAACTGCTGTACAACAGGGGCCCCTCCCAAAAACCAAAATACTAAAATCTACTGGGCCCTTCTGTCCGCCGCCAATTGGAAACACATCTCTTAATGCCAGAGATTTGTGAAAAGGAAACAAAATGTTTATTTAATGCTATTCAGGCCTAATACCACCACTAAAATATCAAAGTCCTTTAGGTTATACGCCTACACCCACACAGCGCTCCCTTCCCTCTTGTCCCAACTCCGGGTACCGTAAATCAGGAAAAGAGCACACGTCTGTGTTGCAGGCCGCTGGCACCGTCAGCTGTGTCACTGTGCAGGATCTCAAGTTAATCCAAAGTACTGTGGTACCCTCTCATGGTCCACTGGCAAGAGTCCTTTGTACCCAGTTCCAGTCAAAGTCTCTGTTGCTTTTCAGGCCCCGCGGCCAAAGGGGGCACCCCAAAGCCGCGTGGGCCTCTTCTACCAAAGCTGCAGGAGTCCGCACTCCACCAAAAGCATGTGGCTTTCTTCTTCACCTGGCTGCAGGGATCTCCATTCTGGCAAAGCTGCGTGGTTCCTCCCTTTCACCTGGGAAAGAGGGGGTCCACACCCTGCCAATACCGCGTGGCTCCCTCTTTCACCTCACCAACAGGGGGTCCTCACTCTGCTGAAACCGCGTGGCTCTCCCCATCTGGCCAAGCGGGGACCCTTCATGTTCTGGAGCCAGTCTTTTTCAAGCTCTCACACAGGCCTTCTCACTCAGGAGCGCAGCCCCTTGTTACATTCTGAGTCCAAGCCCTTCTCACTCCGGAGAGCAGCTCATAGATCCCATCTTGAGTCCCTGCTAGTTCCTTCTCCCTCAGGAGAACAGCTCATAGATCCCATCTTGAGTCCCAGCTACTCACTCCTGAGTCCCTGCCACCAACTTCTCTCTGGCTCCCAACTTGGCCACTGCTATTTAACATATCTATGAAACCAGTTAAAGGTTATAGATATGTTAAATAACCATTCCTCCGGAGGTTAGCTCCAAAACTGTTGCTATGCAAAATAGCTCTCAATGGCCTGGCTCCATTCTTTCTTCCCCCTGGGGGGGGGGGGGGGTGAGGACATCTTATATGTCTCTCCAATATTCCTATACACTTTGAATTCTGGACACTTTTCTAAATCTTTTTGGGGGCCCCCCTGTCTGCACCCTGTATCAATATCAGTTCCCACAGAAGAGGTAAAAAGGAAAACAGAACAGAGAATAAGAAAGGGAGTCGGTGCTACTTCCCACCCACCTTCCTTTTCCCAGAATAACTCTGTCTTCCTCTCCCTCTCCCGTCCAGTTCTGCCTCAGGCTACAACGGTCCCACCAGAGCTGGAAGAGACCAGCAACCCCTCCTTGCAGGAATCCCTGCTGCCAGAAAATACTCCTCTCCTTCCCAGCTTTTCTTCTTGATTCCTTATGTTCAGACCCAGTTTTCAATATAGAAGAATTCTCTTACACCTTCTGAGCTAGCAACTGGTGGACACACACAAGCCCTTCAGTGTGGGGTCCACAGTGCCTAGGGAAAAACGAACTCTGTATATACTAAGGAAATTACTTTTGTCTGTTGTCATAGTACCTAATGTTGGCCAGTTTGTCATTTTTAAACTTCGATTTAGTAGTTTTTTCCCCCATATACAGATTTGGGCGTTTTATAATCAAATGTATCAATCTTCTCTTTTTTGCTCTGGATTTGGTTATACACAATGGCTTTCCCAATCTTACACTATATTTTTTAAATCCCCCAGGTATGTTCTAAGACATTTTGGTTTGACTTTCTAACATTTAAATATTGCACAATTTGTAATACCCTGGTATAAGATAGGAGGTAGTGATCTAAATTATTTTTTTCTATTTTTTAGGTAATAGGCCTGTTTACCCATAAATTTGAAAAGTGTCTTCATCATGTACCAAATTCCTACAGTTTTGAGTCTCTTCCTGGGCTCTCTGATCCATCCTGTTGGGCTCTCTCCTCGTGTGCTCCAGGCCCACACAGCTTTAATTCTTGTGGCTTACAGTATATTTTATCTGGCAGGGTTAATCCCCATGTGTTGCTCTTCTTTTATAGAATCCTATTAATTTTTCCTACATGTTTGTGTTTCCATCTGAACTTCAGAATTGCCGAGTCTCATTATTTTTTTAAAAATCCATAATGTAGTTTAATTGGAATCTTGGCAACTTTATAAATTAACTTGGGTAGAATTGACACGAGTGTGAGATTGAGTCTTCCTAGCCAAGATCATATTAAGTCTTTTCATTCATTCAGGCATTTGTAAGTTTCCTTTACTGGTTTGTTTATGCTTTCCTAACTGTTCTAGTATTTAGTGAACCTTGTACCTACTGCCTTTTCTGTTTTTAGGTTTCTGGTACCAAAGGATGTACATTAACTCTTGCTACCCTTTTCCATTAATTCCTTACTCTAACCGTCTGGTTTAAAGCTTCATAATATTTACCCCCTTGATAGTCCCAGGAAATTTCCAGTGCCTTCCAAGTATTTCAAACAAAACAAACAAGACTTTCTTTCTTTGGCTGCTTTCTGACCTGATGAAAATGCTTTCGCTGGGTCCAGAGGAGAAAGAGAAAAAGTCAGACCAGAGAGTCATCATGACTTTTTAATCACAAGAGCGTTCGTTCATTATAGCAACTATTTCTAAATTGTTTGTACTTCTTATGCCTCTGTATATTGTACCTTCATTTAATAATATCTTTTTCAGGTCTCAGAGAGTTATTGATTTCCATCCTATAAAAGGTGCCTTCTCTGTGGGAAGGCAATGCCCAATACAACATGATCCCTGCCCACCATTCATTTGCTTATAATTTAGAGAACAGCCTAATTTTACTCTAGTTTAAATTATGCTTCTCCATTTCTCAGTGCTTTCCATTATTGTTTGTTTCTGTTCCTTTTTTCCTATTAAGTATGTTTTAAAACAATTTTAGAAAATTTTAAAATTTTTCAAGAAAAATTTAAATGTTATCATTTTACAAAAAAAGTCTTCATCACCATGGAATTTCATATTATGATCTTAAAAGTTGACAGTGTACTTATTCTGACTCTGTGTAACTTGTGGAACTAGATATGCTAAATGACTTTTTTAATTTCCTGTAGCATAATTTATAAGATTTTAAAAATCATGCATCAATTTAATTGTTAACATTCTGTTTTTCAGCCTGGCTGGGTTGTTTTGGACCAACCAGATGCTGCTTGCCATTTGCAGCAGCAACAAGAACCTTCTCCTCTACCTCCGGGATGGGAAGAGAGACAGGATGTTCTTGGAAGGACCTACTATGTAAACCATGAATCTAGACGAACACAGTGGAAAAGACCAACCCTTCAGTATGTGCTGGTGGCTTTCACGTTTGTAATTGGAAAACATTTTGACCACTAATTTTCTTTCTGAAGTTATGTCTCAAATGCATTTGTAACATTGTAGGGGTCTATAAATTGTAAGTGCACCAGGATTTTTATGGCCCAGGACTTAGAAAATGCTATTTTAGCTGTTTGTGTTTTAAAATAATTTGATGATAGTCAAAATTATTTGAGTCACAAATACTACCCTTCACATTGCTTCTTTATTTTAATAAGTTGTTAATTATGTATATCTTTAATATTACGTAGCCAAAAATGGTACATTTTCCTCTTTAGAATGATTTAGAAAATCTGAAATTCTTTGCAGTTTATTACTAAAATATAATAAAATTTTAAATTTTAAAAATATAAATTATTTTGTAACATATAATGGATTCAAAACAAGGATCTTTCATTAAATACCTGTTCGCCAACATGGCCAATGTATACATAATTTCTACCATACACAGATCAAGGACAGAACAACTTTCAAGAATAACCTTCATTCTAATTTACGTCTCTCCGCTGACATTTTTCTCTTATCATCACTGTATGTTTGTAAATAAATTTTCCCCTTATTCATATTTATTATCAAATATCCTTCTATTTCTTCTATCTTACAACTTTCTGAAGTCTTACTTTAGTCCTCCACTGTCTGACACAAATTTAAATTTTTTATTTGTCCATTGACCTTCTAATTTGGGGCTTTGGTATTCTGTGTCTGATGGCCCAGGCACTGTCACAGGGGCTTTCTGTTCTCAGATCCTCCCACAGCAAATCGGGGCTCCACGGCTCAGAGGCACTGACCTCTGCAGAGTGACATGCAGATGACAGAACCGAAGACTCTGTAAAACTCCACACAATTGTCATATTGCATACTCAGTATTAAGGCAGGCTCGACGAGCAGAATCACATTTCTTTTTCTATAGTTGTTGTCACTTCCAACTAGCCCAACTTAAGTGTTTGTGGGGAAAATCTGTAAGAATTCTGTTTTCTCCAACAGCAGTACAGTAAGAACTAATCCTCTGACTATACTGGGCTTATAGGACATCCATAAATTAACAGTAACTTTGTTATTAAATATTTATTAAAAATCTTGATCTGATGGTCTGTACATAATAACTGCAAATTGCTAGAATAATATACCTAGTAAATGACCAGGGTAACTTAGGAAAGGTAGAGTAGAAAGACCAACCCCTCAGTATGGCGCCATATACCTTTCCTAAACCCAGACATGCCTTTTTTCATACCAGGACCATTAAGCATTAAATTGTAATATATTAACTACATTTCTGCTTTTACTTTTATCAGTATTTATTTTATGCTGAATTTACTCCTGGGCCATAAGCTTTTGTTTCTTCAGTTTCTTCTGGAGTATGTTTTTCTTTTGTGCCACCTCCTCTTCTGGTTCAGGAACACCCTGCCCTTTCTCAGGAAGGACCACCTCAGTGTGGCAGGGAGCGCTCCTGTGTGGGTTCGCCCGCCTATGGCTCTGTAAGTTCTACACGGCATCTTGGGAGCTTGTTCACCTCTGTGTTCTCAATGAGCAGAGAATCTGCATCTAAACCCTTAAGTCCCACATTACTCTCTGCACTTAAAGGATGTACAGCAAAAATTCAGCGCTCTTTTTAGGCCACCGACCCTGTGCCCAGCTCCACTGTTTGGCCGGGGCACACCTACCAACCCCACCATTGTATCGACAGAACGGCACACATTGCTTCTGTAAAGTGACATCTTTCAGATATTTGGTGGCTTTTTGAATATGCATACCCTTGATAGCCTGGGCAGTTTCATGAGTGTTGTTAAAGTGAACACGAAGATTTGAACCTCTTGATTGGCATCATTTTGTGGGGTTTTCTGGGTCAAGTGAATAGTGAACTATTTTCAGAGGTCACCTCTGGTCGAAAGCGTCCTTACACTGTCATTCATTCTTCAGTGTCCTTACACTGTGCTTCATTCTTCCCTCTACATCCATGCATGGGGACCTCTCCCCCTGGCTTAAGATTGATTTAGAAAATGTTGCTCTCTGATTCAAGAAGATGTATATGCAACTCTTTAAACTTCTCTTTTTTAAAAATATATTTTTTAACATTTTATTTATTTATCTTTAGAGGGGAAGGGAGAGAGAGATGGAGAGAAATATCAATGTATGGTTGCCTCTCATGCGTCCCCTGCTAGGAACTGGCCTGCAATCCAGACATGTGCCCTGACTGGGAATCAAACCAGCAACCCTTTGCTTCACAGGCCCATGCTCAATCCACTGAGCTACACCAGCCAGGGCTAAACTTCTCTTTTATGAACTTTCTAGTGCTTCTGTAGGTTGTAATAACATGGCAAAATAACATAATAAAATTATTAGTGAAATTCAGTTGATTCATTCAACTTTTCATTCATTCAGTTTTTTTGAGTTTCCATATATGTCAATGACTATCACAGGCACAGTGATGAACTGAAATATCAAAGGCACACATATTACATGCAGACTTCCACAAAAATTTTAACTCTAGAAGCTGCCAATGTGCCCACAACTTAATTTATGCATGTCGAAATAGCTTTTGACCAAAAACAATAAATTCTGATGTGATACAAGTATTTTTTAAATGATCACAGAATATGTGACTATTGTTTTAACTCTCTTCAGACATGAGTGATAGCTTCTGTATTTCTAAAATAGGGACAACCTAACAGATGCCGAGGATGGTAACATTCAGCTGCAAGCACAGCGTGCATTTACCACCAGGCGGCAGATATCCGAGGAAACGGAAAGTGTGGACAACCGAGAGTCGTCCGAGGTAAAAATAATTTTCTTTTTTTTTTGCAGATAGACACATGCTATATCAATAGATTAAAGTATGTGTGGCTGAAGCTTATTCTGTTTGTTTTAGAACTGGGAAATTATAAGAGAAGATGAAGGTATCATGTATAGCAATCAGGCCTTATCACCTCTACCATCAAATAACTTGGATGTCCAGATTCAGCTTGCAGAAGAATTGAATGCCTTACTTGCTATTTCTGGAAATTCAGCCACTGGACAGCCAGTATCCAGCTCAGTAAGATGCTCTCAGATTTTGCTGTAGCTTCAGGATTTTATACTGTGTGTGTGTTTGTGTGTATCCATTCAGTATCAAACTTACACATAAAATTTTGTCTTTTCCCAGTTTATTGAGATATAACTGACATATAACATTATGTTAGTTTAACACGCACAGCATAATGATTAGATATATGTATATATTGCAAAATGATCCCCACAGTAAGTTTAGTTAACATCCATCACCTCAAATATTTACAGTTTGTTTCTTGTAATGAGGAAAATTTGTCTTAAATGGCACATAATAATGTATTAGTGATTTGGGGACTTTATAGCATGATCATTTTTCAAATATTCGACTTATGCTATAGAGCAGAGTCTTGGATAATCTAAATGATCACTGGAGTTCAAATGTCCATTATGTCAATGCTCTTCAGCCAAAGACCACCATGAACACACCTGTAATTAAACAAGTTGGATTTATTATTCATTTCAGCAAGGGAGGGCACACACCATGAGTGTCTTGGTAAGAGAATGTTATAAGGACTTAATGGATTTGGGCTCATGTAGGCATTTTGGAGGAGGGTATAAGAAAGCAAGATTTGTCTTGTGCCCCAAATGCTTTCAGGTAGAGGGTGTATTTCTGGAATAGGGAATCTCAAATCTTATCAATAGTAAGGCTAAAGAAATAATTAATAAAGAAGAAGCTGTAACTCACATTTGCCAGATTAGGGAGATATTTGGTATTTCTTGGGAAATGTGCACATTTTGTCCCTGTCCAGAAATGATTACAGAGTGGTCTTAATTTTGTCTTTATCCTATCGACATGTGCTTGGCCAGATCCTGCGTGATAGGGCTGCTTCTCTCCTCCTTAATTATACCACAGATGTTAGCAACACACATGCACAAATAAGAGCTGATGCACTTTGCCTCAACAAGGAGATAGAGGACATTCTCATTCTAGTAACCACTATAAAAATTGCTGTCTGTAGGGTGCAGAAGCAAATATCCCAACATACATGGCCATAATGTGCTCTTCATGGCTAGCTCTCTAATCTGTATCATCAAGAGAGATCTTTCAGTGAAAGAAAGATTATTCTCTGAGGGTGCCAGGGTCATTTTAGTTGGAGTTCCCCTGCGTTTCATTCAATTAGTAGGTATTTATCGAGGGCTTGACAATATGTGGGGCACCATATGCTGATGTATCATTGAAATATAGCCATACCCACATGTTGAAGCGTTGCCTGTGGCTGTGTTCACACTACATCAACAGAGTTAAGTAGTTATAATAGAGACAAAAGATACTTACTTTCTTGGCCTTAACAGAAGTTTGCACACTTCTGTTTCAGCACGTTCTTCAAGAAACGTCAATGTGGACAGTTGTCTGGGAATACTTGTATGACTACCCAAGAGCAGATCTGCCAGTCTGTTCCCTTCCCCTCCTTTTTTTCCACCTGTCTATTCCATCTCCCATTCATTTCTTTCTATTTTCTGTCAGAGGAGTGGGAAAGGTCAGTCATAGACTTAAAGAATAAGCTATATTGATTTTTTAAATTACCTGTTTTAAAATCCTCACTCAAGGATATGCTTATTGATTTTAGAGAGAGGGGAAGGAAGGAAGGGAGAGAATGAAGGAGAGAAACATTGGTGTGAGAGAGAAACATGGATTAGTTGCTTCTCATACGTGCTCCAACTGGGAACCGAACTCACAACCTAGACATGTCCTGACTGGGAATCGAACCTGCGTCCTTTCAGTTTACAGGATGATGCTCCAACCGCCTGAGCCATGCCAGCCATGGATAAGTTATATTGATTAATTAGAGATAAATCATATAAGATCCTGTTCCCTTTTCTCCTGTCATTTTATTTAAAAAGTAATATATGGCATCCATACAATGAAATACTATGCAGCCGCTGAAAAGAACCAGGTGGCTTTGATGTGTGTGTTGTAGGGAACAATTCCTAAGAGATACTAGTTAGTGCAAACCAGCAAGTACAGAACAGTGTGTTTGATGTCCTATTTATTTTTTGTAAATTATTTAAATGGCAGGGAATAAATATGTGTATTTCCCTGCCAGATTTCGTGAAGGCTCACCAGGAAACTGGTAACATTGCTCAGCTCTGAAGGGAGGAACAGGGTGGGCAGGACACATGTCTTCGGTACCTTTTGAATTTTGTAGCATATGCATGGGTTACTTATTAAAAAAAAATAATTTATTCTTTTAGCCTTGGCTGGTGTAGCTCAGTGGATTGAGTGTGGGCGGCGAACCAAGGGGTCGCTGGTTCAATTCCCAGTCAGGGCACATGCCTGGGTTGCAGGCCAGGTCCCCAGTAGGGGGCATGTGAGAGGCAACCATACATTGATGTTTCTCTCCCTCTCTTTCTCCCTCCCTTCTCTCCAAAAAGAAATAAAATCTTAAATAATAATAATAATAATTTATTCTTTAAAAAATGTTGTATGGTCATAGTTAACAATTAAAACAGTATTGCGATGTATAAAATAAAAAATTAATTTTCCATCTCACCTCTAACACATGCTTCCTTAATTGCTGTTAGTGGCTTGGCATATATTGTCCTGAACATTTCCTTTTTTAAAAAAATATTTTTATTTATTTATTTTCCAAGAGAGAGAAAGGGAGGGAGAAAGAGGGGGAGAGAAACATCAATGTGTGAGAGAAACATCAATCAGTTGCCTCTCACATGCCCCCAACTGGGGACCTGACCTGCAACCCAGGCATGTGCCCTGAAAGGGAATCAAACCAAGTGACCTTTCAGTTCACAAGCCAGCGTTCAATTTGTGGAGCCTGTCCTGATTGTCCCTTCAATCTAGGGCTGCCCTGAATATTTTCTGTATACTTATAAACATGCATAAGCACACATATATTTCTATATAATTTTTTTAACTGAGATCATCTCATATACACTTTTTTGTAACTTACTTTTTTCACGTGCTATAATATAGACATTGGACCATTTTAGTAAATATAGACATATTCCTTTTAAAACCACTAACAAAAATAAAGTCATCAAACTCTGGCATATTTCAGTGTGTAAATAAACTGTAAGATATTCCACCATCTCCTACTGAGAGCTGTTAAATTGTTTACAGTCCTTTGTTATTATAAATAATACTACAGTGGATATTCTGAGTTGATAGTATATTATAAATTTCGATGTCATTGAATAACAAACCTAAGATATTTTAGATAGTGACAACAGCATGTGTATAAAAACACAGGGAAAGAGAGTACAGAGGATTTCTGGGAAACGAGTGATCAGGAATGTCCAGAGGTCAGGTCAGGAGGTGGGGTACGTGGGAGCCATCAGGAAGAGCCAGGTCAGGAAGCTCACTAAGCATTGTGTTCTGGGCTGCAGATTTCATCCTAGTGATGGTAGGAAGTCACTGAATGATGTGACTGGCTCACACAATAGAACATTCCCTGTCTCCAACATGAAGTATGAGAGTAGATTCAAGGAAATCAGACTTGGAGCCAGGAAATCTATGAGGATGTTGCTGCAGTAATATTCAAGGTGACAGATGATGAAAACTTGAACTAAGGTGGAGAGGGAATGTAAGTGAGAGCTAGTAAAGAAGTAGAATGAATGGGATCTGGTGACCGACCTGGCTGGAAGGGACAGAGGTCAGTGTCTGACTGACATCTGACTTGGGCAAGCTGGACAAGGTTCGAGTGGGTGTGAACAGGGTAAAACGGAAAACAGAATCCAGTTTGGGGCACAACAAGGGGGTATCTGTTAAACATTCAGAAGAAAGTATCCAGGAGGCAGTCTAGAATGGGGGCAGAAGTGTGAACTGGTAGCTGGGAAGCATCAGCATGTGCTGGTGTTGAGAGCACTGAGTGCTTTTATTTGGTCTCCACGGTTGCTTCCTAGCTTCCTGCGCAGCGCTCTTTCTCTTGCTCCCTCATACCGACCTGCACTGTGTTATCTGCCACTCAAAGACAAATCCAAGACCTAACACTGTTATCATTCTTTTTTTTTTTTAATAAGAATCATTCCAGCAGAAGAGGCAGCTTACAAGCCTATACTTTTGAGGAACAGCCTACACTTCCTGTGGTGAGTTTTATCCTCTCCTTTCAATCATCAGTAAAAATATAGAATTCAGCAACTTTTTCTTCTTTTTTTAACGCTGAGTATGACCTTTGACTGCCTAACAGAGTGGTGATCCAGCACAGGATCTAGGCTCTGGGGTATGAGGTACAGAGGAGGGGGAATTGAGTAGGTGGTTCCTTTAGAAACAAAACCAGTTGAAAGGTCTCTCCCATAGTTAGAGAGCTCATCTCTGAATGCTGGCAACTGTGGGCGACATCCGGGGTTCTCAGTTGAAGGGCTGTGCTGGCTGGAGTCTGTCTGCTGCAGGGAGCATGCAGTTCAGGATGATGATGTCTAGCAGCCGTGGCTCTATCCACAGCCTGTGGCATATAGCAGTCATTTCTGTCCCACACATGAAATGTCACACAGGGCTCAGACACTCAGTCACATGTGCACTGGTGTCAGCAAGCTCATTGGCCAGTTTGGAATTTATTAGTACTGCCCCCCCTTCCTTTTCATTCTCACATCTACCAGTTGGCCAAGACTTCAACTTTTTAATTTTTTTGCATAATTATTTTTTTGTATTTTTTCATTTCCATTTAATCCCTTTATGTTACCCTCCCCACTACAATCACCACAGTGTTATTCATGTCCATGAGTCCTTTTTCCTTTGTGCTCAATCCCTTCATTTCCTACCCTGCCCCCTTCCCTGTCATCTGTTCTCTTTCTATATAAGTCTGACTCTTTTGCTTGTTAGTGCAGTTTGTTCATTAGCTTCTACTTGTGAGTGAAATCCTGTGGTATCTGTCTTTCTCTGACTGGTTTATTTCACTTAGCATAATGTTCTCCAGGTCCATTCATACTGTCACAAAGGGTAAAACTTTCTTTTTTACGGCCGAGTACAACCTCAACAACTTCATGCCTGGACTGTTGACTCTTTGGATCTCCCAGCCTCCATCCTCCTCCTGATTCAACTCATTACTTTGAGTTTATCTGTCCCTTACTGGGCTCTACATTTTTTCATTTAATTTAATTTTTATTTTTATTTATATATTATCCTCACCAGAGGACATGCTTATTGATTTGGGGGGGGGGGCGAGATAAGGAGAGAAACGTCAATGTGAAAGAGAAATATCAATTGGTTGCCTCTCATATGCAACCACATCGGGAACCAAACATGCAGCCTAGGTATGTGCCCTGACCAGGAATTGAACCTACAGCCTTTTGGTGTACAGGATGACGCTCCAACCAGCTGAAGCACCCAGTCAGGGCATGGGCCAGGGCCCCACTCGTTTTTTAAAAACCACATGAAAACTCCCAGGCTCCCAGCCCCTTCAGCCTCCAGAGATGCCCACAGGCACCTCCTGCTGCCGTCATTCCTATCTGTGCTCATTCTTCCAGACAGCCTGTTCCCATGTTCTAAATTCTCTCCCTCGTCCAGGTCTGTGTGCATTCCATTTCCCTACTTGGAAAGGCCTCCTCACTTTTTTTTCCATCAAACATGTGTGATTTTGAATAGCAGTCTGTATATTGATTTTGAGAAATGGGATTGTTTTCACTTTTATGGAAGTTCCAGCAAAGGAATGCAGAAGCTCAAAATTCCTCAACCCAACAGTGAATCATTCATCTAAAAAGGTGTCCCTGTACTGAGAGAGACACAGATCCTATGCTGAGGAAGGAGGGCAGCACCTGCCTGTGTAATTGACCCTGTCAGTATTGACCATCAGCAAGAGGCAGATGCCACCAAGAGGCCACCCTCACCAGCCCTACTCTCACATGTGCCACTTGTCTGGCCTCTTGCATTAGACTGCAGCCTGCTTAGCGATTTGTAGTATTTTCCCCACTGTCCTTTATTAAGTCCTCCAGACAATGGACATGTTGAATGTCTGATTGACTGACAGTTATTCATCCAAGAAACAATTTTAAGTGTGCCAGATGAGCAGTGGAATCTAGAGATGATTTCTGTTTTATGCACTGAAAAAGCTATTTCTCTGCCTTTTTTTGTCTCCATACATTGATTAAAGTGTTTTCTTTTTAATCGTTTTCCTGAGATATAATTTACATACCATAAAATCTACCCATTTTTAAAAGATTTTATTTATTTATCTTTAGGGGGGAAGGGAAGGAGAGAGGGAGAGAAATATCAGTATATGGTTGCCTCTCGTGCATCCCCTGCCAGGAACTGGCCTGCAACCCAGGCATGTGCCCTGACTGTGAACCGAACTGCTGTTGTTTGGTTTGCAGGCCCACTCTCAATCCACTGAGCCACACTAGCCAGAACTTTTTTTCCATTTTTAAGTAGAAATTTATAAATTGAGTTTTAGAAAATGTATACAGTTGTGCAGACATCACCACAATAAAGGTTAAGAACCCTTCTATCACTCCAAAATAGTTTCTTCAATTACAACACCTACTTTCAGCCTCAGGTAACCACTCATCTGCTTTTTGTTGCTACAGTTTTGCTTTTTCTAGAAATTTCATACAAGTGGAATCCTATAATATGTAGTCTTATATGTCTGACCTCTTTCACCTAATATGATGTTTTTGAGACTTATCCATGTTGTTGCATATCTCAGTAATTCTTGATATTCCATTGTGTAGATAATATCTACAACACTTCATTTATCTACTCACCAGCTGTTGGACTTTCATAAAGCTGAGCAACTTTGAATTTCATTTTTTTTGTAGACTAACGCCTCACCATAGCTGTGTAGGGAACTGTGTGTATCTGGTGAACAGACTAGTGGTGATAGTTTTTATGTGTAAGACACATCGGGAGAATAGGCCAAGCCTTGCAGAGTCTAATCTGGTCCTAAAGACTAAAGAAGGCCAGACCTGGACTATTTTAAGTAAACCTCGAAATAACCAGACCTCTCTGTTCATTAGTAATAAACAGTAATAAATTGCACCTCCCCAGCTCTTACAGAAAGAAGGCTGGAGTGACTTTGACTCAGCACATATAGGTGGTAAGTTCTGTAGTTAAGACTACCTGAGTTCAGATCTTAGCTCCATAGTAGCAACGGACCTGTTAAGAAATTACTTTAATTTGGTCAGTAATATAAATGATCTCAATAAGAGTTGTGTGGAGGTTAATGATATGATCTATGTTGAAGCACTTAGTGTGTTGTTATTACTGTCATGTATTTTTGAAGAAAATGGATTTTATTAGCTAAAATTGTGTTTAGAAACATCTTTATTATCCTACTAACCTTATTAGTCTGTAGTGTTTTTTTCATGTGATTTCCTTGTTGGATTTTGGCATCTGTAGCAATTCTTGTAAAATCACTTGCTTCATTCCTTATATTTATAATTATTTTGTCTTGTCATTTTTTCCTGATCATTCCTGATCAAAAGAAGATAAATTATTTTATTGATTGAAAAACACCCACATTGGTTTCATTTATCTCTCTGTTATTTTTCTGTTTCATTGTTTTTTACTCTTATTTTCTTTATTATGCTTAATCTGAATTTAATTTTCTCTCCCCTTTCTTGTTTCATTAAGCAAAGGCTTAAGTCATTGATGTGAGACTGTTCTTTTTTTAATAGGCATTTTAGTGCTATAAATTTCCCCCTAAGTACTGCTTTAGTGGCATCTCATAAATTCTAATGTCTTTTTATTTTCATCCAATTCAAAATACTTCCTAATTTCCCTCTTAATTTCTTTGACACATGGGCTATTTAGTGTGTGGTATTTGGTTTTCAGCTATTTCAAAAAATCGTCTAGACATCATTCTGTTATTTATTCCCAACTTAATTCCATTTTAGCACAGAACATACTTTGTATGACTTACATCCTTTTAAATATATTAACCTGTTTTATGATTCAGTTGGGTAGGTTGGTCAGGTGGATGGATAACTTATGTTTTCAACTTTTCTATATGCTTGCTGATTTTCTGTTCACCTGTTCTACCAATCACAATAAAAATATTTTAAAGTTTTTCTATGCACACGGATTTTTATATTTCTCCTAGCAATTGTTTCAGTTTTTTTCTTTATGTCTGTTAAAGCTCTGTGCTTAGGTGTATAAGCCCTTAGGAATGCTGTGTCTTTCCGATGACTTGACCCTTTGTCATTATAAGAGGGCCTTCTGTGTCTTTGGTGATACTCTTTACTCAGAAATCTAATTTAATATTAATATAGCCATTCCAATTAAGTTTTTTAAATTTTATTTTTTAATTACAGTTTACCTTCAATATCATTTTATACTAGATTCAGGTTTTAAGCATAGTGGTTAGATAGTTATATAATTTACAAAGTGATCCCTTCGATAGTTCAAGTACCGACCTGGCACTATACTTACTTACTACAGTGTTACATCCATGACTATTTTATAACTACCAGTTTGTACTTCTTAACCCCTTTGCCTTTTTCACTCAGTGCCGTAAATCCCCTCCCCTCTGGCAGCTGTTTGTTTTGTGTATCTATGAGCCTGTTTGTGTTCCATTTGTTCTTTATTTTGTTCTTTAGATCTGCATGTATGTGAAATCATATGGAATTTGTCTTTCCCTGTCTAGCTTATTCCACTTAGCATAATACTCTCTAGGTTATCCATGCTGTTGTAAATGGTAAGATTTCATTCTTTTTTAAGGCCCAGTAATATTTCATTGTCTATGTACCACTCTGCTGTATCCACTTGTCTGTTGGTGGCACTTGGGTTGCTTCCATATCTTGGCTGTTGTAAATATGTTGCAGTGAACATAGGAGTTTCTTTTTAAATTAGTGTTTTGGGTTTCTTTGGATATATACCCAGAACTTGCATTCCAAGCAACTGGGTTTTCTTTTCTCCACATCCTCACTGATACTTGTTCACTGATTTATTATTGATGATGGCCATTCTGGCAGATGTGAGGTGGTATCTCGTTTTGGTTTTTATTTGCATTTCTCTGTTGATTAATGACCTTTCATATGTCTATTGGTCATCTGTGTGTCCTCTTTGGAGAAGTGTCTATTCAGGTCCTCTAACTAATTTTTCATTGTATTGTTTTTTGGGAGGAGATGTTGGGTTGTATGACTTCTATACACAT